CCCTGGTGTGAATAATCTGCAACAATGCATAAGATTCTAATAAGATTACTGACATTTAGAAATGGGAAGAAAGGAGCTAAAGGTGTAGGGAAGGTGGGATGGGTAGGGGAAGAGTAAAAAGGGAAAAGAAAAAAATGTGAGAGAATGAAAAGATGAAAATAAAGTGTTTGTAGATGGGGAGGGGAGGAGGGGGTGAAGGGAGGGCAGAGGTAAGGGGACAAAATGAGAATCAAGACTTGTCATGTAGAGGTACAAGATCCCAACAATGAATGTAACTGTACTGTATCCCTAAAATGTACCAATAAACTCAATTAAAGCTGAAAAAAAAAAATACGGAGGCCAGAAAACAGGTCCTTGGTAGCATTTCTGTAAGAGTCCCCAAACGTAACCTTGGATTCAAAAAATTGAAAGAATCAAGAACCAAAACAGCACACAGATGTGATTCCAAAATAGATATTTATTTATTAAGGATCATTTAGTTTTTACATAAAAATCACCAATTGTTACTCATTGGGGTTTTTATTAAACACATCAAATCTTTTGGGGTTGCTTGGTTTGCCCCAATGCTTTAAAAAATATAAGCTCTCTTTAGTGCCAGGAAGGACCATTAAGGCAGCAAGGCAGCTTCTCCAGTCTCGGCAGCTGGAGGGCATATTTCTTCCTCCCCAGAAATCTACTTGTTTCTCAGTTTGGAAGAATTGTCCCTGAAGAAAATAATTATGCAGAAGAATGCAGATACAGTCATCAATTTTCAATTGTTTGTGCCCAATAGCTTGAAAAGAAATGGCCCCTTGGTCATTAAAGGCTTGCTGGCTGGTTTTATTAAAAAAAACAAAAAACAGCCGGGGATTTAGCTCAGTGGTTCCACTATTTGCCTCTCAAGTGAAAGGACCTGAGTTTGATCCCCGGTACCAAAAAATAAAAAACAAAAACAACAACAAAAAGACCTTCTGGCAAAAGGCAGATGGTTTCTAATGTGAAGTCGGTCTGTGCAAACCACATTAGAACACGCACATTTGCTTTCTTGAAGAATGCCACAATAAGGATCCTGCAAAATTTCCAATCAAATTTTTCACATTCCCTAAAATACCCAAAACATCATTCAGCCAGATCCTCAGAGGAACACGTGCTTCTCTATGCAGTGAGGTGTGTACCGCTCCCCTAGGGCAGAGCTCCTTGGGGGAGTGGGGGTAGGATTTGATTTATTAGAAATGTTAATTTTATTTATTTGCATTTATGTTTTTGTGGTGCCAGGGATTGAACCCAGGGCCTCATCCATGCTAGATTAGCATTCTACCACTGAGCTATGTCCCCAATTCTTTTTTTAAACAAAAATGTTTTTGAGACAGGATCTCCCTAAGTTGCCCAAGCTGGGCTCAAACTTACGATCCTCCCATCTCAGCCTCCCATATAGCTGGGATTACAGGCACGAACCGAGCCAGGCTGGTTAACTGATTTTTATCACACTGAAGTGAAGGGGTACAGTCAGTCTGTGCTGTTGTGAAATTCAGAGATTTGAAAGAGGATTGTTATTTATTGCTCCATTAGAATAAACTTTTTTAAAAAAGACTTAAAAAACTCCAAGACTGTCCTCCGCAGCCCAGGATGGCCTAGGGCTGTGAGCAGGAGGTGGACGAGGCTTGGTTCACAGTGGTCCAGGTCCAGTTGTTTCTGATCGCAGCCCTGCGTGGACGCCGCCTACACCTTGTAGTTGAGCTCCGCGTTCATCTTGGTGTACATCTCATAGATGACGTCGATGGTGGCCGTGTAGTTGACCAAGAAGAGGCGGATCTTCTCCAGGCACTCCTCCTCCGTTACGTTCTGCCCCTTGGACAGCGCCTTCAGGAAGTCGGATTTGTAGGGTGCGGCGTAGAGGGCTGCCTTGAGAAGGGCAAGAGGGGAGGCGGGCGTGAGGTTAGCACGCTGGACACCGGGCCAGAGCGAGTGGACCCGGAAGACTTCCCCAGGGTCCGAGTGGGCGGGGTCTGCCATCCGGGCAGCGGGAAAGGAAAAGGAGAGGAAGATGTGTCATCCCTTCCACCCCAGGGGCACCACGGGAAGGGTACCAGCCTGGAGACAGGCAGGCCTGGGTGCCGACTCCGGTGTGGAGCTCTTCGCTCCCTGATCGAGAAGCTCACTTTTGGGACAAGGCTGCTAATTCATGCTGCGGGCTCTTTCCTGCGCTTAGAGGGTGATACTTCCCTACATTTCAGGGCTTCCCGGGCATCTGAAAAAAGGATAGAGATTCACAGAAGTGTAGAGCCCGGGCACAGGTTTGACGGGATGGGGAAAATATAAATAGTGTTATCATCAATAATGAAAATAGTAACCGCTTCTCGGCCTTTTGGCTGATATCAAGTGGAATGATGAAAGTAGTAGTAGCTTTGATTTCCCGAATGTAAATTTCGTCCAAGCGCTTTATACAGATTGTTTCATTTTTCACTGTGATCCGTGTGGGTCATTTCAGGTTTTATGCCTATGTGCAAGGTGAGAAGACTAAGGCTGGAAGGTACATTCCCAGCCCCACCTTCTGACGGTTTTGTTTTTTGAGACAAGGTCCTGCTATGTCACCTAGCCTGAGCTCAGACTCCCGGGCTCAAATGCTCCTCCCGTTTCAGCCTCCCCAGTAGCTGGGACTACAGGCACACGCCTCCGTGCGCAGCCAGTCCTTCCTCCTTCCACCTGTCTGAGCGGCGCGGTGCACTATCTGCGCGGCAGGGTGAGAAGAGAGCTGCCTCACGGCGATCACAGCCCACCGGCAGCTGCCAGGCCCGCGGAACACTGTTACTTCTGAGGGCAGCTGCTAGGCCTTCATGAGAATGCGCTGCAGGAAGGCTGGGGTCTCGAGGTGCTGCCCAGATGGGCCGTGGCAGGGCAGACAGCAGAGGTGGCTGTTTCTGCCCTGTGTCCAGCTCTTCCGGCCCGGACTCAGCCCGGCACCCAACAGGGCCTCCTGGGGAAGAGAGGACCACGAGGGCCTGGTTCCCATGGCAGTGAGGATGCGGAAAGGCTGGCACAGCAGACTAGATGCGCCCACACCACGTGAGCGGGGGCAGCGAGAGGCAGGTGCCAGCAGCACGGAGGGCACCCTGGAGGCCCTTGCACATTTCCTCAGTTTGCTTCTCAGCCTGGGGACCTAGGGACCCTCAGCTAACTAGGTTGAAGCCCCGTGTCATCCTAACTCAGGCCACAAGAGCCCTGTGAGCCCAAGGGCTTTGCCCGGATAGTCTCTCTCCCTCACCTTTGCAGTACTAGAGATTGCTCTCAGGGCCTTTGCATTGAGCTACATCCACAGCCCCTTTTTTTTTTCTTTTTGAGAGAGGGTCTCACTAAGTTGCCCAGACTGAGCTTAAACTTGTTTTGTTTTTTTTTTTGGTACCAGTGATCAAACTCAGGTCCTTGCGCTTCGTGAGGCAGGTGGCAGAACCACTGAGCTAAATCCCTATCCCGTGGGCTTGAACTTGTGACCCTGCTGCCTTGGCCTCTAGCCTCTGGTCAGACCTCCCAGGCTGGGGCACAATGAAAGGCCCCAAAGAGCATCTGCACTGATGGCTACCATATCATGCCCCAGGGCTGGCCATATGCACGATATACCAGTACTAGCCTTGCTCCCAAAGGACAGGGGGCCATTCCTAAACCCAGGAGCAAATACAGGCCCCAAAGACACAGCTAAGAAGTGGGAAAGCCAAGAGTGGAGGTGCACGCCTATAATCCCAGAACTTGGGAAGCTCAGACAGAAGGAGCACCGCAAGTTTGAGGCCTGCACCTTGTAGTTGACCTCCACATTCATCCTGATTTACCATATAGCTGGTGCAGGCTACATAGTGAGACCCTAACCCAGAAAACCAAAAAATAAAAATAAAAAGAAGAAGAAGAAGAAGAAAAGAAAAACAGTGCCAGAGCAGGGAATGGAATCTGCAAGCTTGTACTCCTGGCTGGGGACAGAATGGGGTTCCCTGGGGGTGGCTCACATGGAAGATCTTCTGCACAAGCCAGCCATGGTACTTCTTGAGGGCCATCTCATAGGCCTTGGTGGCATTGACGCGGATATGGTTGGGGTGGTTCTCGTCCCGCTCCCCATCACAGATGCTCTGGAGGAAGACCTGGATGAAGCGGAGGCCTCTAAGGACAGAGAGGAGATGGTACTTCAGGAGCCTTGTCCACAAGCTGGCACCCTGCGTCATGGCGGCCCTACCAGCTGTGAGTGATGCACCTACTGTGACCCGGAAGTACATTCCCACAAAAGGAAGTGGCTCTCCCTCAACTGCCATCTTGGACTCCTCCTGTTTATGAGGAATATAATCACTTGACTCAAGTCCCTTTTTTCCATCAGAGCCGGTATGGGCCCCTGACAATGGTCCCTGATAGGCTTTAAGATCCATGCGGGCAGGGTCTGGGCCTGCCTTGCCTTTTCTGTGGCCTCTCATGGGCTGGCATATGGCAGACGGCCATCAGGACTGGAGAGGTGAAGCCACAGCACTGGCCCACAAAGGGCTCACAGACCAGGGACACAATGGCACATGGACCAGCCTGGCTCTGGGCCCATCCAGGCTGCTCACTGCCACGGTGCTGTCCCCAGTATTTCTAAATCTGCTACATCACCCCTCTGCCTCCTCCAAGCCATGTCTGCAATTCTAGTGGCCACTCCAAGAGCCAGAAGGGTGTGGGGATGGCAGGGAGCCCAAATCAAAAATTAATGAATGCCAGCCCTGGGATTATCTGAGTGGGCTCAGCAGTGTCCCTGGCCCATAAGACATACTTGAGCCAATTATACAGAACTCCTCTTGAGATGTTGTATTTCTAGCCAGGCATGGTGGCACATACCTGTAATCCCAGCACTTAGGAAACTGAGGCAGGAGGATCACTACAAATTTGAGGCCAGCCTTGGATACATGGTAAGTTCAAGACTATCCTGAACTACATAGTGAGACCCTGTCTCAAAAAACAAACATAGGGCCAGGGATGTAGCTCACTGGCACCTCACCTGCCTGCCAAGAGCAAGGTCCTGAGTTCCATTCCTAGTACCAAAAAACAAACAAACAAGCAAACAAAAATGCTGTGCTTCTGACCAGAAATGGTCATAATATACAAATATACAATATATATATATGACCAGCCCCAAACAGGATACCGCTAATGCAACACACAACCTGTACGACTGTGATTATGCGAACTGGCCCTCAGGAGACTTCTCCCAGCCATTGATTAGCATTGCACCAGAAGGGCATCTGAACCCCATGCTGGCAGTGGCAGGGATTGTTTCCCTCCTCCACATGTGGGGGACCCTCCAGGCCCTACCCCCAAGCCCATCACCTTTTCAGCCACATCAGCGCCAGTGTAGCCCCCACTTTGGGCCACTCTGTTCCATACATTTCCTTCTCCACCTCCAGGATGTTCTGCAGGGTCCGGAACTTGGCTGGGTTGGTGTCGTACACGGCTTTAATTTTCTGAAAGGCAGCACACGGGGTTGTCCCCTTGGGAAGGCTGACAGTGCCTCGAGTACCAGGGGAAGGAGCAACCACAGGCACCTCCTCCTCCTTCCCACCTGCCGGGGGCAGCAGGGACTCACTGGCCCTAACGGGAACGCCCCTGCTCACCAGTGCCAAGTGCTTCAGCAAGTGCTTTGTGGGTACTGCCTTATTACAGGACACGCATGGCTACCCAAGTGTTGCTGTCAGTCCTCAATCTACAGGTAGGGACACTGAGGTTCACAGAGGGGCAGCGATGTGCCCAAGGCCAACAGCTGTGCAGGTGGGAATGGGTCCCAGCTCAGCTGGCTTGAGAGTCCATGTCCTCCAGCCACTGGTGACACTGCCTTGGGAAGCAGGCACCTCAGATTTTGCTTTTAGGGATGAGTGAAATCTTTAATTCAAAGACTCCAGGATCCTCTTAGGATTCTAGGATATTCAGGCTCAAAGGCCTCTCTGAAGGACCCAGGTGGTCCTAGGTGTGAATCCCAGCTCTGCCACTTTCTTGCTGTGGGACCTTACATGAGTTCCTCAGCTGCTCTGAGTTAAGGGGATTTTCTGAAATGAAGCCAAGATAAATATAGGACCAGCTTCCTAGGGCTGCTGGGATGTAGAGATGAGACCCTCAGGGTAGGCCATGAGCACATCCTCACAGGACAGCAGATGGCACAGGGAACCCCCAGAACTCAGGAGCAAGTGAGTCAGGCCAAGGCCACCCATGGACTTTGGAGGGTTATTTTGTCCTGCAGCACTGGCAATTAAACCTAGAACTTTGCACTGAGCTACATCCCCAGCCCTTTCTATTTTTCTTTTGAAACAGGCTCTCACTGAGTTTGAGCTCAGCTCAAATTTGCAATCCTCCTGCCTCAGCCTCCCTGAATGCTGAAAGTACAGGTGTCCACCACCATGCCCTGCTGGAGTTTTGGGGCGGAAGTGAACAAAAGACAGCAGCAGGCCCTTCTTAGGGCCAACCCTTGAGACTCTGGTCCCACCCAGGCTGCATCTAGATGGCTGGGCCACCTAGTGGAGGAGCCGAACCTTGAGCCCTATTTGCAGACCCAGCATCTCTGTTTGGTGCATCTCCCTCCTCTTCCTTGCCTGGGAGGTCATGGCTGCCAAGCCAAGTACTTACCGTGATGTTGCCGCTTATGTCAGCCTTGATGGGCATGAACACGGGGGACCCGAGGCAATCTGGGAACAGAACGAGAAGAGAGAGTTGGACTCCCCACAAGGGTAACAGGACAACCATGGGCCACTGAGAACTGGGGCCTTCAAGGGAGGAAAACTGGTGTGTTTAGGGGCAAGCAGAATGTTACAGGCGTTAGGAAGGCTCTGGGGACAAGCAAATTTGGGGAGTGCTGGGCTCCAGGTGAAATATCTAGGAGACAAACCCTTTTCCACACCCCTCTCTCCCTAGAGCAGCACTGTCCAACAGAACTTTTGACAACGACAGAAATGTCTATCTTTGCACTGCCCGTTGTGGCACCTTGTGACCCCAGCCCTTGCAGGGTGGCTGCCTGCCTTTAGCTTTCTGAGCCTCACATGCCCATCTAGTAGATGTGACAACAGAACCCGTTAAGGAGGTGTGATGAAGACTACTTGAAATAGTCCAGGTCCAAGATGCCGTCTGTTTATCTCCAGAATCTTCGCCGGAAGCATCTGTGCTTTTTGGCAGAGTGGAACATGGGACACCAGGTAATACCTTCCGGTAGGGGAATGTAGATCCAGACATGGCCTGGCCATGCTTGGAACTCCGGGGTCCACAGGAAACCCCTCCCTGTCCCCTCCTTTGTTCCCCCTTAGCAGGTCGTCAGGAGGACCAAGGACATGGCCCCAGGCAAAGTTCCCCACAGAGGGCTGGGACAGTGGAGGCACACCTGTGCAGTACTCGAGTGGCCCTCGCCCTGGGGCCTGCAGGGGACAGCTGTGTCCCTTCCCCTCCTCAGCATCCTTGCCGGGTCCAGAGAAGCAGGTTTGCTTAGCCAGACACAGAGGGAGACAAAGACCTCAAGGTGGGCCAGAGGCAGAAACTGACCCAAAGGAGGGAAACCACCCAGGAGGCCAGAGAGGGTCTCAGGCATGCGAGGAGCTCTGCGGGCCGGCTTCCGGCCAGGCGGGCAGGTGCAGCTGGCTAACCACCTAGAACATGCTAACTGCAGCTGTGAAATGAGGTGCACGGAGTCAGCAGTAGATGCCTGAATCGAATACTCAGTGCATGGTGGAGAGAAAATGGGCGAGGGCCGGGGATTCAGCTCAGTGGTGCTGCCACCTGCCTCACAAGTGCAAGGTCCCAAGTTCGATCCCCAGTAGCAAAAAAAGGAAGGCTGGCTAGGCGTGCAGACAGATGGGGTCTGAACCATAGCCTGGACACTGCTCAGCTGGGTGGGTCACCTCACCGCTCTGTGCCTCGGTTTCCACATATGTCCCATGGAGCAGCAGTAGGACTTACTTCATAAAGATGTCATAGGAATTAAAAATAGTCCCCCGGATTGGGGGCATAACTCAGTGGTAGAACATATGCTCAGTATGTACCAGGCCCTGCGTTTGATTCTCAACACCAAAAACAGGTAAGAAAGAAAAATAATGCGTCGGACACACTTAGCAGAACACCCCGAGCCGTGCGTGGCGAATGCTCAGTAAATGGGCTTCAAGCGTGTGTTTGACTTCTGTCATTTCCAGGGTCGGGTTCCACAGTCCAGCAAATGCCCCCGAGTCTCTGCTGCCTGGGGATCATCCTGACCTGTGGCCCCGGCCACTCCACTCCACGTCCCTCCTTACCTGTCCTCCAGCTGAGCTACAGGCCAGCTCCTCTGAGCTCAAAGCCTGTGGGGCAAATCCACAAGGGCCACGTCTGAACCTTCTGTCCGGTGAGGGCGGAGAATTGGCTCCGAGGCACTGGGTGGGGGGGTGCGGACCGCCTGCCCTCCCTAACCCCGGTGTTCTGCCTCCCAGCCAGGCCCGCAGAGATCATCAGTGCACTTACTGCCCCAGCCGCCCTTAGCTTTGCCCGATGCGTGTGTCACATCCTGGGCCGTCAATCCTGTTCCCTGTTAGTACCGTGATCACTGTCAGTGCTGCAGGCTGATCTTCAAATAAGGAAGGCAGGGACCAGATCCTTGGCGACCATGGGAGTGCTATTAGCTATTCTGCAAGACTCGGGTCGTTCAATGTGCTTTCCTCCCAGTATTATGGATTTAACCCAGAGGTGCTCTGGCACTGAGCTAGCCCCCCCAGCCCTTTTTATTTTTTCAGTCAGGATCTGGCTAGGTCACCTAGGGTGGCCTTGAGCTTGCACTCCTCCTGTCTCAGCTTCCTGAGGAGCCGGGATGACAGGCTTGTGCCACTGAGCCTGGCTTTGATGTGTACTTTAGAGGTGCAGACAGAAATGCTCCTGGGCTTCCTTGCCCCTGAACATGGTTCTAGTGGCCGGGAGAAAGGCTTTTTGTTTCGGGTTCTCCTGACGATGTGCTCCAAGGGTCACGAGGCTGCCGCGGTCAGCAGTCACCAGGCCCCAACAGAGGCCCTTTTTGTGTGTTGTGGCCACAGCGCAGGGTGACGGCTTCTGCTCGACTGCGGGGGAAGAATGTGCTGCTGAGGCTGGAGTCCGGCACAAGCGGAGTGTGGACACAGACCCTAGAATCTGCTTTCTTGTTACACACTGAGGATGTGTACCGGACACGGGTCGTGGGCTGGGAGCTTCTGGAAGGAGGCTTCCCGTGATTGGTGGAGAGGTGGCCTAGAGCTCCAGAGCCAGCTGGTCCTGGGTTCAAATCTCGGCGTTGGTGTGACTTTGGCAAATGACTTAATGACTCAGGGTCGGGTCCTCACTTCCTACAGCCCAGAGATGCTGTGCAAATGGAAGTACTCCAAGCTCAGGCAGCCAAGGCCTGTTTCAGTATCACCCACGGAGGGGTCTGGGCCTGTCCGTTCCTGAGGCAGTTGGAGGATACCGGGTCCAGAGAAAACAACTGACTTGCCCAAGGCCACAGAATGATAGCCAGGAACCAATCACATAGACTGGCTATACTACATCCCGGCCTTTCTTTCCAGAATGTTCCCATGTGTTCCTGTGAACTCAGGAAAATGAGAGACTCTGACAGGAAAACCAGAGGATGATTTTGATTCCCAAGACACAGGGCCTTTCTAACAGTTTCAACCTAAACTTGCCCCATTCCCAGACAGAGTGTGACAAGTTTCTAACAGGTCATCCAGCCCTACCTTTCCTTCAGATTGCAGCCTGCTCCCAAAATTGCCTTTCTTGTTTTACCAGTTTTGCAGTTACCCCAAACTTATTTTGTCTTCACTGTTGCCAGCAAATAGTCTACTCAGTGTGCCAATCAGAACCTGTCTGCCCAGAGAGCCGGAGGGGGCTTGGATGGCTTTCTAGTTCATCATTTACCTCCAGGGAGAGAGGAAACTGCCTTTAGAAAAAGAAACAACCAGATACAATCCCACCACCTTCAGAACGATTGGGCCCAGATTCTAAATACAGTAAAGCTTTGGTTTTCTAGGAAACCTGACAAATGCCCCCTTAGTTTGTGGAGACAAAAAAATTTTAAACATACTATTCAATGGAAGACATAAGGAAAAGAACAACAAATCTTGATATAAAAACCAGAAACTTTCTACACGGGAGAGGAGGAAAATCCTACCATCAAAGCCGAACAACAAATTGGGGTAAAGGAGTGTTATCAATGTAAAATGTATGATAAGATGCTATTATCCCTAATATATGTTAAGATTTCTTACAAAATCAATGAGAAAAAACAAAACAGCCCTATAAGACAATGGAAGATTCACAGAAGAAATGAAAAGATGCTTAATCTCAATAATAGAAAGAAAACAGGGATACATTTATCTACTAAATAACTTTATGAATGTATCAACTTTTTTTAGTTCAAACATTTTTTTTTTCCTCTCATTGAATTTATTAGGACATTTTAGGTATACAGCACAGTTACATTCATCATTGGGATCTTGTACCTTTAAATGACAGGTCTTGGTTCTCATTTTTTCCCCTTGTCCCTGCCCTCTAGTTCAAACATTGGATGGAGTTCGCCAAGATGTAACACAAACGTCCATCCCTGCTTTCATGCAATAAACCATTTTTAACTTTCTAAACAGGGCCATCATCGAAAATATGAATTATAGTGCCATGTGTAGTGGCACGCACCTGTAGTTTCAGTTACTTGGGAGGCTGAGTCAGGAGGATCAAGAGTTCAGGGCCAGCCTGGGCAACTTAGCGAATTCCCATGTCAAAAAGAAAAAGGAAAAAGGAAAAGAACATTCATCCTGCTGGTTGGTGGCCACTGTCAGGCTTGACCTGGTGGTGAAATGGTTAATGAATGTGCTCTTTAATTCCAAGCTGCAGTTTGACAAGATACAAAAAAACCCACAACAAAACAGGCAGCCAATGCAGGTGCTGTCTGTCTCTGATCCACAAAAGCTGTGCTATCAGACAAAGAACACAGGATGGGATCTTCCCAACACAGAAATAACGACTACAAAGCACAGCATCTACTCAATGCCACATCACCTGAAAGTATCTGAACATCTGCCCTGATTGCTGCAGGGGCCCAGACCACAAATATTTGCTCTGACCCCTGTGGGCGACAGAGCGCCAGACTCGCTTCCGAAAGTTCTCTTTGTTCCGGCCGGCGCCTCTCACTTGCTGTCGTCCACCTCTGCCCAGGTGAATCATCTGCACCTCTTCACCTTCAGCAGCCTGCTCCCGCAGTCCCATCCCTCTGCACCGTTGGTTACAACTACTCCTTTCTGCTCTGTGTGCAGCGTTTTGCTAGATACTTCAAAAGCAGGGCCAGGGATTTAGCTCAGTGGGTCCACTGCCTGCCTCGCAAGCACAAGGTCCTGAGTTCGATCCCCAATACCAAAAAACCCAAACCAAAACAAACAAACAAAAAAGAGTCCACAAAAGTGAATAGCCAACTATTCCAGAGCCATGTACAAAAAAAAAAAAAAAAGAGAGAGAGACAAGCACCAAGCCAGGGATTCTTGTATGACCTCTGTGACAGCTCTGGAGGGACAAGGGCCGTGTCAGGCTCCTGACTGGGTCTCATGCTTCAGTTCTCCTGGGTGATGTTGCCCAGGAGTCCGTAAGCCATAGCAGCAGTGCCCATCGGCTACCCAGAATCAGACTCATATCCTCTTTTTCAGGCCTCAGCACAACTGGAGAGCATTCATTGGCCCACCACTCTGAGCAAGACAGACAACAGCTGGCGTGGTGGCTCACGCCTGTAATCCCAGCACTCGGGAGGCTGAGGCAGGAGGATCGCTGTGAGTTCGAGACCAGCCTGGGCTACATAGCGACTTCCAGGTCAGTCTCAACTACACAGTGAGACCCTGTCTCAAAATAAAAAGAGCTGGGATGTAGTGCAGTGGTACAGCACTTGTCCAGCACATGCAGCCCATGCATTCAACCCCCAACACCACAAACAAAGATCGCAGCACACATGTGGAAATTTCCAGGCTGCCCCAATGCTTTCATCCCTTGTAATGGATGATGCTCCCCTTTCAGCAAAGAGATGCCTGAAGGACCCTGCACATTTTCATTCAGCTACAACATGTGTGCTGGTTTTGAGACATACAGTTCCCTTTCAACCTGAATGACTCAGGAAGGGAACACACCCGGCCCAATCCAAAAGTGTTAATTTCCAAAACAGAGGGGCAAGAAGCCGGGTTGCAATGCTAGCAGCTTGAGGTGGGAGGTTCTATTTCACATCCAACCCTTTTTCATAGCTGGATAATAAAGTTCAGTTGTTAAACACATGGGGCAGATTAACTTTACAGGCCCCGGGTTACAAGGATCAAAATGGGAGGCTCTCAGATTGCACTGACAGAGATGAATCATTTATCCATGGGGGCGGTCACTGCTCAGGTCACAGCACAGCCTAGTTGGAAGGACAGGACCCCGGAGGATGCCTCCATTCCTGAGGCTGGTTCATGCTCCACACTTTACTGTACTGCTTTAAAAAGTCACCCATCCATAGCTGCACAGTCAGGTCAGCAGGAAGCTCAGTTCCCCACTGCACGATGACCTCTCCTTTATCCTGCCTCACAGGTGACACGGGAAAACACTAAGCTGCCTGATAGACAGTCATTCTTTTGTGCTCAGCTAGCTTTGGTGGAGTGTGCTACTGCTTTGTCTTATTTGGCTTTTGTTTTGTTTTTTTTGAGACAGGGTCTCCCTATGTAGTTGAGACTGACCTGGAACTCAGCATGTAGCCCAGGCTGGTCTAAACTCACAGTGATCCTCCTGCCTCAGCCTCCCAAGTGCTGGGATTACAGGCGTGTGCCACCACACCCGGCTTGCTTTGTTTATTACACACACAGTTGTTTTGACTTATTTACAGTATGTACTGAGCCATTTTGACATTTACTGTGTCTTTGGTTCATTGAATAAATTTGTGGCATTCAAATACTTGAGTTGATAGTTAAAAACAATACCAGTATTTGATCGATTTTCTTCTTACCTGTGTCATACCTGGACATGTTAGGTGTTTATCAAAGGTCTTCTACGGGGAAGAAGATAAACATAGGAAATAATAACTATGTGGTATTTGTAAGTAATGCTGGCTCAGAACAAACTTTTGAGAACTCAGTTGACAAATTTTTGGATCAACTTGGAAAAAGAGCATGACTTTTCAAATTTCTGAATGCCTTAGTTATCAGTATTATCACTCTTTTTTTAAAATTTCCTTTCTTTTTGTACCGGGGATTGAACTCAGGACCTTGCGCTTGTGAGGCAGGCGGCGACACCTCTGAGCTAAATCCCTGACCCATAGCTTGCATTTTAATTCTTTGGTTCTCTGCTGTTTCTATTAACCCACAGTATTATTTTAATAAATGTTATAATACCAACCTAAAAAAAAAGGCCAGGGCCAGGGATTTAGCGCAGTGGCACCACTCCTGCCTTGCAAGCACAAGGTCCTGAGTTTGATCCTTGGTACCACACACAGAAAAAAAAAAGTCACCCATACCAACCCTTTGTCCACAGTTGTCCTCTTTGGCAAAAAACAGCCTTGAACTGAGAATGCAATTGGGAAAATTAGTTCTCTGATTTATTGTGTGGCCTGAGGAAAATCAGCTAACTTTGTAAACTACAAGTTTCTCATTTATAAAATGAGGCTAGTAAAGACCCACTTCACAGGGCTGGGTGTGGTAGTACACATCTGTAGTCCCAGTACTCTGGGAGACTGAGGCAGGAGGATCACAAATTCAAACCCATGCTAGGCAACTGGAGACTGAGTGAGATCCTGTCTCAAAATAAAAAATAAAGCCGGGCGTGGTGGCACACGCCTGTAATCCCAGCACTCGGGAGGCTGAGGCAGGAGGATCTCTGCTTGAAGACCAGCCTTGGGCTACATAGTGTGTTCCAGGTCAGTCTCAACTACATAGTGAGACCCTGTCTCAAAAAATAAAAATAAAAAAATAAAATAAAAAACGGGATAGGCTAACAGTTCAGTGTGAAGGGCCTTTGGTTCCATCCCCAGTACCAAGTGGGGGCAGGGGAATGTTAGTACGGTTCTGGTACCCAGTAAGTGTTCGATGTCATGCCTGGCCTAAGTGAGACCTTCACAAACAAGACAGAGCAAACAGGCTGCATTCAGCAAACAACAGGCTACTTCTCAGTAAACAGGACAGATGACCACAAGACCAGTGACTGTATACACACCTGCACTGACTGTCTTTGGACACTCAGTCATAAACATGTCACCCCAGATTTCTTAGACCCTCCAATATCTATATAAACCTAATTTCTTTCTCAGCTAGCTGCTGATATCTATCTCTTGATGTCAGCCCATCCACACATGGATGTAACAGACTTGGGTCTTCCTAACTAGCTGCTAAAATCTACCCTCAATTTTAGTGTCTGTTCACTGTAATATACTTTTCTTTTTCCTCACAAAGCCTGTCTGGGCCAGGGATTTAGTTCAGTGGTTCCACTGCCTGCCTCATGAGTGCAAGGTCCCAAGTTCGAACCCCTGTACCAAAGGGCGGCGGTGGGGGAAATGCCAGCCCTAGAATGAAGAACAAATAGAGGGTTGGGGATGTGGCTCTGGGGCTCCTGACCCAGCAAAAATAAATAAATAGGAAGGAGAAAGAGAGATCGATGATTGAAATGGTAAACATTAGCAGAACTTTCCTATAAAATAACGACCTCATGTGGATTGCAGACCATTAAAAAGGGCTCTCGGAAGGGAGCGAATCAAGGTCCTGGGGCAACAGCAGTGCAGAACACGAACCATTCTAGAGCCCAGAAGAGTGTGAGTGAGCCACTATCTTCTGCTGCCTGCCTGCAGAGGTTTCACAGGACCCTGGAGAGGGCTGATCCGCGGCAATGACTTTAAAAAGCTCAGATACCATTAACACTATGAGAATAAAAAAGGAAGAATAAAAGAAGACTGTGAACCAGTACCACCAGAAGAATGTAAAGAAAGGATTAGCATTTCTTTTACACAGCTCGGTTTCAGGCTGAAACAATGAAACCTAAGACTAGACTAGAACCCATGTTCCATCCTAATAAGCTCAGTGAAATTGGCTCACTGTCCTGCCGCACAAAACTTCCCACTGCTTCCCCTGCCCCACAACACAGGGGCCGCGTACACAGCCACTTCCGCCCCCAGGAGAAGCCTACGCATCGGCCTCGCCAGCGGGGCTCCTGGGCCCTGTCAAAGCCCCGAGGGTCACCTTCTAGCTTTGCCACTCGGTCAGATCCCTTCTTCTCTCTGAACCTCAGTTTCCTCTCCCATCAAATGGTGCCGATTCTTCTTCCTTCTTAAGGTTCGCACGAGGATTCGAGGTGAGCGACATCTGGTCCGCAATGACCCCAGCAGTCACCCAGTGCGGGTCACCTAGCTGAGATCCAGCCACACGCTGTATTTCATTCACGGAGCCTTTGGTCATGTCTTCTTCGCGTCCCCTTTCGGTCCTACACTGGCTGGCCACCGACCCTTTGCCGGGCATGCGGCTGGGCCCTGTCCCTAAGGGAGTCACAGTGCAGCACCCACTCCACAGAGTCGGAGATGAGGGTGTCACAGCCAGCACGTCACAGCGCACCCTGGGCACTGACTGCTCTCCAGTGCTTCAGCGGCAGAGGCCAGACCTCAAGGCTTGATTTTTCTGAGCACGGAAGGACACTACCACCTCTGTCATCGGGGCCAGGGCAAGTGGGCACCAACAGTATGTACTCGATGCTGGGACGAGCCACAGACCGAAGCACCCAGTGGTGGACTGGTACCCTGACAGGTGACCCAGACTCAAACTGGCTTCATTTTTTGGTACCAGGGACTGAACTCAGGACCTTGCACTTTCAAGGCAGGTGCTCGCCCTGAGCTAAATCCCTGGCAGGAGATGGCTTCTTTTTGGTAAATCCCTGTTATATCCCGAGGGCCACGTGGCATGTCCTGCCTGCACAAAGATGAGGTCCCTCCAGGCATGGATAGTCAATTCTGTCGCGCAAGATCACCTCCATTGACCTTCCTAGGGAGCTGTTTCCTGTTTCACAGTTGGGACTGCAGACTCAGAGAGGGAAGAATTTGCTCAGGGACACACAGCTTGGGTGCCCTGCCCTTAACCCTGCCACAGAACTCAAGTTCTGGCTGGCTCAGTGTGATATAAATGTCCATATTTCTTTCCACTCCTCTGTCCCAAGTGGGCAGAGCATAGATATCCGAGGGAAAGAGTCAGATTCAAAGTGACTTCTCAGAGGCCAGGGATTTGGCTCAGTGGCACCAAGCCTGCCTTGCAAGTATAAGGTCGTGAGTTCGAGCCCCGGTAACTAAAAAAAGCTAAAACAAAGTGACTTCTCATTTTTGAGCCTCAAAAACAGCCAGCTTGACAGGAAATATAGGGCTGTGGCAGCCTCTCCCGCTTCCTCAAATTGTACTTGGGCCAGGTGATATCCCAAATGGGTCACCCACAAGGTGCTGCTCCTAACGGCTCCTGTCACACCTCCAACTGATGACAACTTTAAAATGATAGAAACCATGGCAGAAACTGTCTTTTTGGCTGGGCGCGGAGGTGCAGTAATCCCAGCACTCGGGAGGCTGAGGCAGGAGGATCACTGTGAGTTCGAGACCAGCCTGGGCTACATAGTGAGTTCCAGGGCAGTCTCAATTACATAGTGAGACCCTGTCTCAAAAAAAAACCCAAACAAACAAAGAAACTGTCTTTTTGGCTCCATCTCCCCACAAGACATAGTTTCTTCTTTCAAGAGTCCCTTTCAGGTACAGTCTATGTCCCCTTCCTCTAGAATCCAGCT